ATGGATTTTGCTAGGTTAACCTCGCAATACATATGGACAGGCACCTGGGGCCGTTTAGAGGGATCTGGTGGTCCTACAAGGTCGATGTGGATATGTGCAAAGTGAACATCAGACTGTGGGGGTGTTCCCAGTAAGTGCAGCGCTCGGAGGCACCGCAGCAGAAACAGTGGTGAAGGCTCTTCCGCGAAACTGATTGTCCATAGTTGGCAACTGAACGAAGAGCTAAGTTTGAGTGGAACCTCTTCTTCCCCGGACCCCAAAGGATCCGTCCCACTACTCTTCATTCACAAACCAGCCGCGTGGCAAAAAGTTTTCAGGAGGAAATGGGAGCTACTTCTGTGTTGCACTTGGATACCGCTTAATGAACAGGGTATCTACCTATGATCATGTTATGGCTAAGAGCGGCAGCTAAGACGGACTCTCGGTGATGAAACTGGTTTTTGGCATCACATTAAAACTTTCTAGAAAACTCATTAACCCAGCACCAAAGGTGGGAAACTGGCTCAAGCACTATGTGCGGGTCAAGTAAAGAACAGAATGGTAGACTTGAAACTGGTTGTGACCCACGAACGCTTCCAAGTAAAGAGTATGTCCAAGGACGGATTCCCACATACATATTTGGGCTCGGTGCAACAAGACTCAACCTCTTCGCAGCTTCCTATACGAACGACAATTCAAAGTCATCTCATGACAGCCGAAGTATTTCGTAATCCAACGATGCAACTCAGGCGATACGGTTGACGTAAGCAGACCTTAAAATGACACACTTGGTTGACTTTACTCATTATTTTCTGTTAGAAAGCTTGCCAAGGCCAGTTGAAGACATTGCTAAGGTCAGGTTGCAAACGGCCTCGAAGTCGCATGGGCAAGTGGAATGGGTGCAACCCTCAATACAATAGGAAAAGCTCTAACAAACTAGAGTGCACAAACCTACATTTAGCTTGAAACAGAGAAGCGACGGGTACTGACGGATTCAGTATCCCAAGCCATGTGTGGTTTTTATCATAAGCCATTCGCTTACTATCCCCTTGGCGGTTTAATAAGAATCCCCTCTCATGAATAAAAAAGTTCACTGATCTCATATACAAGTTCGCATGTCTTAAACGTTTGTTCCCGTAAAAAACTGCATCCTGTGGCTGCAGATTCATCAACCGTCAGCTCCATCAATCCTCCAAATTCACATTCGCATTCCAGACGAAGAATTAGAACAGCGACAACTATCTGTGGCGGTCAATTCGTCTGGCTACTGGAAGCCGACAAAACATGGTGAGTGCAAGCAACTCATTCCTCGTGTACCTGTAACAATGTCAATTTCCGACTTCATACAGAAGAATGTAATAGAAACGCGTCTAGGCCACAAATTTTAGACGACTATCTTCTCCACGACACCGTGAAGGAGGATAAGTAACTACGCTTCCGGATAACCACTAAAAACATCCACCGAACATCCTCAGGAACACTTGTATGAAACATACAATCGGAATTCGAGGTTTTGAGATGGTGATGGTGATAGCGTTTATTGAGTTGGAGTAAAACCTGTGGACCTTGGTAGAATATAGCCCCATTTTAAATGATTTATCAGGTCTATCATACAGCGTAGAAATATTGTTTACTGGATCACGTCTTGAACATGATTTATTGTCCATAGTCATATCAGGATAACCACGCAACTTTGGGATATCTTTTGGATGGTCCAAATTTCCTCACCTCCACTTTGGTGTGGATAGTAAGATTTTCCATGTGTTCGGAACAGGTGCTGCTCCATTCCTGTAGCATGTATAGGGGTGTTGATTCCATAAAAGAGGATTCACTTACTAGTCTCCCTCTCCATCCTGTTGCTCCAGTTTTTAGTGTTTTCATCCTGCCCCATTCTATTGTGTGGTTGCGTGTAACTGCATACATAGCTATAGCTGAGCCTTTTTCTGAATTCCTTACCTTATTGAGCTCCACAACTTTGACCTGGTTAGGTTTTCGTTACCGGATAGCCGAGTTGATCCTGGTCTACCTCTTTTACCCGTGTATTAGACTTCGCAATCGTCGCAGGGGATTAAGTGAACCAGGCTATTCTGCTTAGTTGGATCAGCAGGATGTTTTAACCTACAAAGCTTGTTTCGAAGTGAGTTTGTAGGTTCAAATGCCACTCTAGTCCCACCCTGATTGAGACCCTACGTGGTGTTTCTAAGGTGCCCTCCTTGCACGACAATACTATAGAGGCTTTGAATTCTGTCCTCACGGTAACATCACTATCATCCTTGACATGATTATTGTCACTGTTAACAACTCTGTTACCGATATTACCTGGTAATTATTTAGTTATTTAATTAGTTGGTAATCTTTCAGAGAATTTTGTTTTGCTGTGATAAGTCTGGTGAAGGAGTTAAGATGGGATAACATTTATTCCTGTATCCACAGGAGTACATCACTTTTCTAGACTTGATTGCGTTCGGTGGAGAAAAATCAGGAGGGTTACTTTTATTTGCATAAATTAAGGCGTATATGTGGCTCAGGTAGGTCTACGGGGCGTGTTGTTATTACGTTACGTTTGGCCAACCCTGCTTAACTTGGCGTGCTCTAGTACCTGCTTAGTGAACGTGTAAGTACTGATAGCGAAACACAAATCAGAAAGATCGGTACTCAGGAATATATTCAGAGAAACAACGAATTCAAGTGGAATAAATATAACACTGATTAAGAAGAAAAAAGTTTACTCCACTTATTTGGCTAGTATATCTGAACTAGGGACTCTGAGTATGCGTGTGTTAACCAGCGAAAGGGGTGCGCAAAGTGGCGCCGAAGTCTGCTTGGATGCATGCTCGTTAAAACAAAATTAAAACACTTAAAGCATCCAGAAACTAGCTAGGGGTCTATTTAGTTAATTTACTTTGATCTATTTACCCGAGCCCTAGATACATTTTGGGGTCAGGAAGGCGTGCTACAAGTCGAAGAAGATGAGAACTTCTCTCTTCCAAGTTTGTTCTGCATGGTTTCCGCTCGCGCTTTCCTATTTTCTTCTGGTTTCAGCACAAGCTTCAGGGGGAAAGTCTTACCCACAGTTCTGACCAAAAAATATCAACTTACTAGATATGCTACTTCGTATGTGATATCAGAAACTATTGAAACAATTCTCTAACTAGTGTGCCCCCCCTAATTTCCAAATTCTGGAGAAGTTCCACAATAAAATCACCTACTTATCGACATCCTAAATGCTGCCGGGTGAAAAAACACAACTGCAGTGACTGATCCTGGGGCTTCTGAACAGTCACAATGGAAGCGACAGTCTCGACGAACGACTAAATCTGTGAGATCAACTTACCTAGTGACTCTAAACGCAACATATTAGCAGATAAACCTACTTAATAAATTTTTCCTCCACTATATCTTACTTGACTCCGTCTGATGGGAGACAATTAACGGTCAACATACCGTCTTGATAATAGTGAATACTTTTATGTGAATTCTATGTAAAAATCAATCATAATTGGGCACTAGCCCTTCTAACGTTTATTTCTCTGCACCACAACGAATAATCCTATTGGTTCACATATATATTGCTGTGTAAGACGACATGACGAGTGGAAAGTGTTTGTACCTCGATATTCACTTGGATTACATGGTTACGTCAAGACTTGCTGATGTCCGAAATTGATAAAGTGAGTTCTCGTTGGTCAGTGATACCATAAACAAGTTAACTGGTGTTAGATTAGACGTGTTTGACGAAACGTGGAGCTGTACAGGCTGGTGAAGCATCTCGGTCACTTGAAACACAAACATCGAATATTGCGCGACTTCGATGCCACTTTAGTGAGGAAAAAGGATGGTGAATGGGAACGACCTAAACTCACAAACAATACATATTTACTATAAAGTGCTATTTTCCTGTTGTTTCCGCAACCTGCAAACACTTTTCTTATTATGGTAAACTGTATGATGATAATATTTGTTCCTGAACACACAGGCACACACCATTTTTGCAGGTGTGAACAAGTTTCTATATAAATTATGGTAAACTTTAGTGTCTTCCCTTCTGTTTCACTCAGGACAGCTCGTGTTGGAGATTTCTGTAGTATTGTCAATTTGATGATGCCCGTAGATTGGCTGCTCTCATGTAAAATTAGTTGAGCGTAAAGCATTTCTCCACTGCTAACGTATTAGTTCCAAACGTGTTCTAACGCGGATCGGATAACGCACGCAGGTATCACCTGTGTCTGACCAGGATGTTATAGGCTTTACTCTAACCAACCCTTGTCAACTGAACACACTTCAACGACAGGTAACCAAAAGATAGACACCACAGGACTCGAAAAGATGTCATTAGCTGAGGCGTTCACTACTGAATGTGTATAAAAATAATAATGTGATATCGATGCATGTGGTATTTATCAAGAAATTTAAATAAGGCTACATGGGGTATGCAACATCTTAGACTTATGCCTCATTGTGACCGTAGATTTTACTGAAATTAGAACTCCGCTGAAAATGGTGATACTCCGGTCTTAAAAATAGCTGTTGTCCTAATTCCGAACGATATCTTACCTTCATCTAGGGCAGTACACGCAAGTACGGAAGCTTTAGCTTATTCCAAACACCCGGAGCTCTACTATTTTTAAGTTTACTATTAACCAAAACCTAAAGTACCACCAATTAATATTATGACTTACAGTTACCGGCCAGTGCAAACTACGTGATCTTTCTGGGCAAATGAGACGTCATAACGCTAAATATCGGCCTCGAATTTTATCAAGCATTAGTCCCTCTCATTTTGTTAAATCACAAATTAGATACGTTTATCCTGTTCTGAAAACATATACTGTTTTGTTCGGAAAACAAATTACCTCGACGTACTAACCTACAGTATAAATTATTCCGGTGGTTCATGCACGATAACGTCTGCATTTGAATGGGATTACTATACAGTCTTATGCATTAGGCAGCATATTTAGAATGACTTGTACTCATTGAAGGCTATAGTAAGAATAGATTGCACCTACTTTTCTGGACACATGACGACGGTTCAGTCTTCCTATCTGATAGTGGTACGTCGTTGCCCGACTCGTTTCGGTGGTGTTTTAAAGCTTTATACCATACTTATGACCTTTTTTTCAGACAGAGAGAAGCATTTTGAGCTCATAGTGTTCTGTGAAGTATCTGAGATTTATCCACTTGATACAGTTCAAAATCTACTTTGTTATGGTTGTGCACAACAGCTAGGGATTTCGTCCGGCGAATCAGTCATCATTGAAAGTGAAAATGTAATCTATTATAGCGCATGAACTCTACCCTGATGACTGCCATAGAAACGATTTTTCGCAGCCCCGACGGCTCCAACTCATAACTACTTTCAAGTGTCGTTCACTATTTTGGCCCGGGTGATGAACAATTTCTTGCCATTTCCATGCTCTGCATCATGTCCACATCGCGAACCATTACGTGGTTGAATTCTTTCAAGTGCAAGCAACAAAATGTTTATAAAAATAAATATTCACCGTGGACAAACAGCACGACGTTTAATCATCTTGGACCGACGTATTGCATACTGGACTGACTCACCTGATACACCTCATACCGATGCAATGTTGCTCGCCAAATGCAAGTTGGGGCATAATTTGTTACTTGTAACCATCTCATCGTCCATGATGTCTTGTGTTTGAGACATGTATTAAATTGCATTACCACTTTGCATTGCACCCCAAACGTCTAGAATGGAGTAACATACCAGTTTAACCCCCTCCTCTCATTTCATTTTCAACCATAGACCTTCCTAAATATCCAGAGTGACAAGAAAAATTAGGTTTTCAAGGTTAGGAATGATCTAAGGGCTGCAGATTATTTTTGTGGTAGCACATAAAACTTATTCAACCCAACACTTACTGACTAATATTTTTAGCTATTTATCTTCAGCTTATTTTTTATTTCTTTATATTTTCACTTTGCACAAGCACTGTCAACACAAAACTAGAAGTTTGTTTTGAATCACAACTATTTTCGGAGGGAATTCGTATTTTCGACAAGTTCCGTGAAACTGATGGTTGCAGTCGCGTACACGTGGGGTTGACTTCAAGTTAGTTTGATTATATTTATAGGTTATTTTACGGTTGATTAACTAAAAACATTTCAAGTAGCTTTTAAACAAGTGAACGAGCTGTGTACTGATAGTGAACTGCAAATGACAATATATTGTCACTTATGACCATAGTCATGGTTTTTTTATGTACGATTTCTCACCTAGATTTTTTGAAGTGCACTTGAGTATTTTTCTAGCCAAAGTCCTCATGACTTCATCTATGCATAAGTGTGCAGGAAGAATAGCCTAGAAATGAGAGCACAACATTTTGTTTAGGAAACAAGTGGTGATCGTATGAACAGCTATTCAGCAAGGGTTTCTCATTTCTTTGTCGTGTATATAAGGGGAGGAAATGTGTCGTTGTAGAATGTTAAATGCAAATCTGAATTGGTTTTTTTCACATCAGGGCTATTTTCACATTTCCTGCATCGTTCACGTCTAGGTGCTTTCTTAAAGCAAAATTGCCATTATATTTCCACCCCATATTGCCTTAATTCTACATAGTTTTGACACGACCGTCATTAAACCCATTTCCATTCCACTTATACCTTGCGGCTTGGACCGATGCATTTATGTACGAGGTTCCACGTCGATTTTGTCTGTTTTCAATATTTTTTGATTGTTTCAACAGTGGTAATACACCATAAGCGTTTCAGCACCCATGCTGCATACTCTATGCTTCGCCATTCTCCTTGTCCCTATATCCTTCCCACTAATCCTATAAGCTTGAAGTCGTCGGATAATCGTATTGGATTAGAGAATAATCTAATGTCTGAGTTAATCTTTCATTCAAGTATTCCTTGGTAGTTAGTTCGTCCCCTAACGGTTACCAGTATTCCAGGCAATTAGATCCCTAAATATAATGTACCGTTAAAAAAATTCTGTATTGAAGTACATTGACTCAAACGGTTGATTATTTGACATTCATTTATGTTATACTTAACTAGTAGGTCCCCATGGCGTGTAACATGAGATCCTTTATGAATGATTTTAATGAATATCAGAATGTCCGCTGACGGCCATATATATATGCCATAATAAGTGGGCTTGTGCTCGGCATTTATTTACAGATGCGGATACTTTCTGACCCATTAACTGTTGTAGAAGATCTTAGCCCCAGTTAGAAGTTAGACTCAAAGACAGCATCTCTGTCTAGCGCTCTTATGCATCCTGATCTCTTTTCAACACTTTTGTGCAGTAAAGTAGTGCGCTTCGCAACACTGGTTTTGCTACGTAAATTATTTACGTCTGTTTCCCATGTGAGACTGACTCAGTATTCTAAACAGTTTTCAGTCGTTCTTCTTGAATGCTGCTTATCTTAGACAAACAATCCAGATGGTATGGTGGTCAACCCTTATCATCGTACATTAATTCACCACATTTCATCGCATGCCTCCACCTCTTACTCTTTTCGCATCGGCTTTTACTACTGGATTATGTTATTTTCATTTCTTGATCGTTTGTATTGCTTCATATCCTGATTCGCTCACGTAAGGTGTGGCAACCTAAGTAAGTGCACAGTTATGTCACAACCACTTGATATTAGTTGGTGATTGCTACCACCGTAAAACCCAAAATCCGTGCATCAGTTGGGTGTAATGAGAAATAATATGCTAAGCAAATATTACTGGGAAGGCAATGCGTAGGTAGGAAAAGAGTACAATTCTATGACAGTATTCAGATTCTTTCCTTAGGCAGCCACAATTGCTTTATGGGGACTAGTGATACTGCCTGCTGATCTCTAGTAGCTTTTAGACCTCGAACACGACCCACTGATTGGAAGCAGAATAGGTATACCAATGATCCGCAACACCATAACAAACAGCTGAAGAGTAGTAAAATATTCACGCTTTAGATGGAAATGGTACGTAAATCTGCACCATCACAGTGAGTTTTTTCTTGCCACAACCTGTCTCAGATCTATTTGAGGTACCTTCTAAAACCCAACAACGAAGTATATACAGCATAAACAATTGACTTAAAGGAATATCGGTGATGACTGACTAACTAACTGAGGATTTGTAGCAAAGCCACATGTTTCGCTTGCCTGTATATCCGGAATATATTATTAAAACCTCACTTGAATCACTCAAAAAAGCTTGGGTTTCACCACGTCAACTAAACTTAGGCCTGCAAATTTGCACTCAACTTATTCAAGTTAATCGCATACAATCATCCACTTTGTCCAGAGCTACTTAGTAAATTCAGGTATTTTCTTTTCAGGGGAATGTAGTTTGAATTTTAAATCCTGAGAAATTACCTTGGTCTCCGATCTGACACCTAGACCCTGTATTTGTGTTAGCTGTAACATACGTTTGCGAAGATACATAACCGAAGCAATTAATTGTTCACTTAGTTCTTCAAAACGTACTTTACAGCGTTCATGTTCACTCTATTTTATGGGACGTTCACTTTAACAAGAGTTAGTATGCAACGCAAACCCAGGGTAACTAAGCCGACACCAACTCATGAAGTCTGATTGTTGTACGGAGCTGTGTAGCGAGTTGTATACTTTGGTTGCGATCAGAACTGATTTGTTCATGTCAGTTAGAAATCAGTGGTTTTAAGATTTACACAGACTCCCTTGGTATGTACTACCGTTGTACGGAGGATACTCGTTTTGTTTAATAAAAACGTTAAAACGGATGACCTAATTAGGATTTCGGAGATGTTCACTCTAGGACTGGTTCTTCACATGAAGTTGAAAATTTAAAAATCCTTAGCTTGTATGTCCTTAGCAAGCTTAATGAAAGAGTAATGTATAGTCTATACCGAAAGCTAACTTGAAGAGGACATACGCACTTCCAAAGTTTCGTCTCGTGGCAAAAAGGAAATCCGATTGGATGTTTGATAAACAGAACCGAGAAAATATGGCCATATAATACAGACGGCTAAGAGGCACTCAAGTAAAGTCTCCTTCGGGAAAAAAATTTTTGTAACGAAACTACAGTAACCAAAACAAACAGACCGGTCATTCTCACGTATGAGGAAAAGAAACTGTTACTATACCTTCGGTTTGAGGTAAGTAGTCTCACCAAAATCCTCACTAACAGTACAGTCATCCCTGAGAACGACGTTTCCGACAGCGTCCCAGATTAACTTTTACAACTAGATATATTTTACCACCACAATTGTGAAACAATTCATCCATCCACGTCCATATGCATTTATCAATTTAACTGTGGAGTAAGTTATATGTGGCCCCACTGAGGTGAGTTTCGCAACGTGCTGAGAAGCGTCTGCCTGTATGACAAACAAAAGAAGAGACTAACTCCATGTAATTGCACGTGACGAACACTAGCCTTATAGTGGACAAGGAAATCTGCCTCAGTTGTTTACAAGGTACCAAAGGTGATAAGAATGTCTTCTGTGAGCTATTGTGTGTATTACTGTCAAAATACTGAAGCCAGAGTTGTGTATGAAAGATACTTGCACATTCCATTATTCCGGACCTGGATTTCATTCAACTCTATTCTAAAGTGGCATGATTATTTGAATCGTTTAGTTGTTTATTTTATTTTCATAACAGTACGACGATAGCTTCAGAGTTCTCCAGGATGTATGACTCTAGCCAATCCCTCTGTGAAAAGTTTTAGCATCATATAAATGTGCTGGGAATATTTTTCAAGTGATTGTCTTTCTAGGTTCACTTAGGTAGGGACATACCTGTTCAAATCAAAACGTGTTCACTGTCTAACCACATATTTTAGAACGAGGAACAATCTTCCACCATCTCTCTCCTGTGATATCTGATGGTGGTAATTTTCGAGTTAGACCACATTATCAGAACAATGTTTTTCATTGGAATCGCTGATTGGTGGACATTTGTTGTGCTAAAATGATCCAATAAGATACTCTCAATTAGTACTTGCTTATGAGAAGACTATTGGCTGAATGCTTGATGTCAAACTGAAGTTTTATGCTGTTATCTGTATTGGAAGCAAGTGTACGAATGAGCCACTAGATTGTATCCAAAGTCTATGAATTGAAATATTGATGCATTGAGTGTAATTCCTCCAAAAACTATCAAACAAAACCACTAGATCCAGTTATTGCAACCTTCCCTACATTTCGTGGTGGAAATGTTGGTCTCACTGAAATTATTTCAACAGTTTACGACTTTCGTTAGCATGTACATGCATATATCTTTAGAATATATCTGTAAAATCCTAATGAGGTCGGCAAATAAATTTCTGACGTTTCGTGACTTCGTGGAAATTTATTTTACAAATATATTCCATTAAAAAAAAATTAATCCAATGCTCAACCTATTCAACTTTATCAGGTCAAATTTTGGTCCTGAAGTCTATAAAATGTAACTTAAGGTCTAACAATATCATAATAATTTTTCTTTTTTGGTTCTGCACATAGTTTCACAAAAATGACGCTCAGGGCTGGTGCGTCCAATGTGTCTGTCCGAGCATGGCGTCGTTACTTTACCTTATCATCTGTTGACGCAGTCATACAATTAATGCGAGAGGTGTTTGTTAATTGCGGGATAGCATTTTCTGATGAGCAAATAGCCATGAAATGTTTGATAAGCAGTACTAGAAACAGCTCTATAACAGCTGATGTTGGTGTTGAGCCCTCTACTAAAGAACCCAACTTGGCTTTTGTATCTATTGTATTAGGTTACATTGAAAATCATCTCACTTCTGGCTCATCGGAAGAATTTGATTCTTTAAAACTAAAAAGTAACATTCATCACAAAGTTTTATCCCGAAGAAAGGAACTATCGACCCAAAACCATTCCGCTGCCGCTCATCCTCTTTCACAAAATCACAGTCACCCCTTTCCGTCCATCTTGAAACACCAGAAGAACATTTAGACGCTTCTTGTGATAACCGCGAGTTGGACAGCAAGTCAAGTTCCATATCCAGATCGTTATCTTCAAGTTCAGTTGTACAAGAAACTACTCAAAATTCTAGTCACATATACGAATCTCCCATCTGTCGTCGTCATCGGACAAGACGGTTTGGTTCTCGCCGTGTTCGTCAGCGAAACGAATCAAGCGTATCTGATTCTGCAGAAAGTACTGGAGAATTCCCATATACAGCTGCTGCCAAAGATGAACCGTTGAAAATAATTACAGACATGCCTGTTCGAAAGCGACGTCGGTTTTCAGATAGTACTCTACCAAACTCGTCATTCCCGTGTTTAACATTTGATGAGACTGAACGATTGTATCTAAATTTTTATAATCTCATCACCACTTCTCCGAAAGTAAGTTTTGCTTTATCGTCTCATTTATTATCGTTAAAAAGCGATGGTAAAGGTCTAAAAACAGCTGTAGACGTCTTTTAAGAAATCGCATTTATAAGCTTTTCGATAACTGATACACCATTTTGCAAGCTTACCTCCTTTAACTAAGCTAACTAAACAGACTACTATATAACATGCAGAGCTTCACTTACAGATATCGATGTTTTGTGTCATTTCCACTTTGTATCTTTCAGTAAAGTAAGTCTTAAGTACTTTTATCTGGCAATTCGACCATATTTATCTCAACTGTACATCACTCCGTCCCCTGTGTACTATCAAACGATACAACCCAGCTTCCTGGTACGAATTTATGATCTTGGCTATGAGCCACACTTTATATGTGATATTAATTTGCCCTGGTCTAAGTAGGTAGGGTGGGATTTATGTCAAAACCTATTGACTGAAAGTCAAGTGCTTAAGCCAGTAAGTGACCTATAACTCCACTGTGTGGCCGGTTATTTATTCTCATGGATTTTGTTAAGGGGCTATATTTCAACGTCAACGTCTAACATAACTAGTACTTGTGTCTTAAAGAAAACGATAATTAATAGTTGAGTTATAATACTTTAAATACGTTGCGTGATGCCACAAATTCAGAAAAAGATGGATGTTGTGTGAAAGATAACAGGGTTCACTCCATTGGTTGGCGGAATCAATTTTGATTTTGTATTTATCTAACTTGATGTAGGTGTGCATAAGTAAGTCTTTTGTTGTCAGTAGAGAACTATCATCCTTGGTTTGTAGTTTTATATCACAAATCATCTAAAAGTTAGTGCTAATGATATGCATGCATTCACTCATTGTCCTTCGTTGATGAAACCACCGAGTAAGCAGTGTTGAAAGTGTTCATACATTGTCAGCCATGAGGGAATTAAATCAGCCTATAATCTGTACGAACTTAAATCAACTGAAACAGCTGACCGATTTATTTAATAGAAGCTGAACTTAACAATATGTTGACGAAACCTATAGGTGAGCATACCACAATAAAAAAGGCAGTAGTAATCTACTGAGTCGTTATTGTTAGTTTGTACTGTACGAGAAAGTCTATCTTCCTATCACTTACAAAATGCCAAACACCAGTTCTGTGAATGCATTATATGACATGCTTGAATGTCGATCACAAAAGTATCGATACATCCACTTTTCTCCAAACCTTGAACATTTTATGTACCTGTTTATTCCACAAGTCTGTTGAATACTTAACGAGTCCTAATATTTCCCTTATTGATTTTCTGTGTATGGTCTTGATGAGCGTGCATTGAACTTCTCATCAAACTACAGGAGTCAATTAAAAGTCATTCAATCAACACTATATGTAATAGGCATGCAGAAAATTTTACTATCACTGAAAACGAATAATATGAGCTGATAGGAGTATAAAAACCAGATGTCGGAAGTTGTGTGATCACTTTGGCATATTTATGAGCAATAATGTTTACTCGAAACGTCATCAAGTAAATAATACTTTACCACTGCTTACTAACAAATAAACAAATCTAGTATAGACTTCAAATAAGGTTTCTTTTTAAAAAAGTTTTCTAAACAGTAATTAATAGTTGTAGTCAAAGTTGTTGTAATAAGGAATTGTTTTCTTCATTTAAAAAAAATATAGTTGAAACCTTTTATTGAACCATCAAGTTTTAACAGTAGTATAGGATCAAAGAAACAAAGACTTCATTCAATTACAATACCTTCAACAGAAACGAAGAAATACGCCTCCCGTTCGCTAATCTGTGCTATATGTGAAGTTTTATGGAGTCAAATGACAGTTAGTCGTGTTAAAGAACGACTAACTCATACACAAAGTGTATATTCCTTTCTAACAAGTTAGTGTATATTATTTATATTTTTCATAAAGTTAATCCATAATTCACAAAGTACTGCTATTGTCCCAGTAAAAACTTCAAGTTTAATTCTTTTTTTACTGACGTTTGAATTCCCGGTTTCTACCAGATTTATAGCAGTAGAACTAGTGATAGAAATGAAAGTGTATTAATGAACATTTCGCCCTGTCCTGTTTCTCTTCAACCCCAGACTCTGTAGTTAACAAGCTAGCCGTTGAACTAATGGGATAATCCAGTAGCTTTAATAATTGCTTACTTCTTGGGCTAATGAAGTGTTTGATGGAAGTAAAATATATCAAACTTCATCAATAACTGTGTGTCGGCTTAATGAATCTGAGACTAGTTTCTTAAAGTTCTTGAGTTCCACGTGGAGTTTATGGATCAACAGCCCAATCGGGATACGAGTCCATTTTTCGAGAACTCAGTTCTAGATATGTTTTCAGGAACTGCGTCAATCCAATAGCGGCAAGACGCAATAGATTTCTGCAACGAAGTTGGACAGAAAGGATGACAGTCAGCGTTCCTTGCAGACATCACGTGTTGTTCTTATTGGAGACGACAACTTCCAAGTCCACATACGACTGCGTGAATCCGAGCAAGTGTCGGGTATCGATGAGTATGCCTGTCTTCCAAAAGCTGTCGTTAGGCGTTGAACAACTATGAACCCTATGGTCCTAGATCCAACGTTAGACCAACTGACTTCCCTATGATCGTCACATGAAGTTCACTCCGCTCTCGTAACGCAAAACGATCAGCAATCTTGACCAATCTGACAGAACTGGTTAGTCTGCTCCTACTAATAGCTTTTTAACTCCATGCTTAAGAATTGCTGTTAGCAAACCGTCAGATATTGCTGCTGCTGCGTTGTTCCAAATTTCAAATACCGCTCCCAACTTCGAAGAGTTACAGGACTAACATCTTCGTCCTATCCAGGTTCAGGCTGAATGTTGGACAAATGAAGCGTTACTGAAGGCCAGTGTTGTTCATCGAAGTTGTCCCACTAACCATCATCCTATTGCTGTCATATATCATCCGACTAGCAGTACGACTTCACCCTCGGACCTCCACCATAACGCAAGTTATTAACACCATGATGGTATCTGATTTTCGTCTTACCACTATTAAAGAAACCCTTCTGGCATGATAGGACCTCAAGGAACAAATGTTCCCACCAGCATAACGCATTGGGTCATTGTGATATATGAATACCACGCTAAGGTAGGTAGCATGTACTCCCGATGGACAGCACATGATAAGTAAAATTGATAGTTGGAGACTTAAGGTGAAATGATATGTCTGAGAATCAATCTCGGTGGCGCATATGTATCCATACATTATATTGATCCTGATTATCTTATTGCACTTGGTTTATTTGTTTGTAACTTGATGTGCTAATGTGAGATGTGGCAAATTAGACCGTTTCGCAGTAATTTCAGTTGTCTTGCTGATTGTGACTTATGACCCAGCAGTGGAATGTGACATAATTTCCTTTTATGTTTCTAACTGTTGTTGTCCGAATTTCCATACGCTTTTGTGAACAGTGTTCACAGTTTTCCTTACCCCACAAGTCACATCATGAAAAGGTATTTAAGTTATTTTGTGGAATCATGTTAATACTCTTATCATCGACCGGATTATTCAATGCAATGGCGTTGAAAAATTCAGTATGTAATTTGGTTAATTTATATCAGGAGGTTCTGATCCATGTTCATCATTTTTGCTAAGGCAATCGTTTCATGTCTTGCAATCCAGCAGGTCTCTATACGTTTGAGAACTAGTGTGTTAACCTAATATAATGTATTGTGACTTGGGATATTACTGTGGATGTAAGTGGATTAGCTTCGAATCTTTGGTTGTTGGTTGTAGTTAAGTGAATTTGCCAGTATTCTACAATGCTACACTATTTCATAAAGCAGTTCATTCCTGATTCTAACCTCTAACTGAAAGTTTAATCACTGTCCTTATATGATGTGTTGGTGGTTCGGTGAACATAACATTCTGATTTTATCTGCATTAGTGTTCATAGAATCTTTGAAGTTGCCAAATATCCGATTATGTATTAAAGGACAAGTATAGCGTCCTATTGTACGACTGTGAAGCGTAACCCCTGAATGCTGTAGTTATGAAGGGATTAAAGGCTTTTTATTACAGGTGTCTTCGTAGCACCGCTTGTGTATGGTGAAATCAGTGTGTTAGCAATGGCAAAGTTAGGCGTAGTGCATTAAGCGAGAAAACCAAGTTATCCAACTGAGTTGTGAAGCTTCGATGACTGAGGTGACTTGGGCACTTTTTGGACATGCTGAACCCACCACCTACTTCGAAAAGCGATATTAACTGAAGTTAGATTGGGTTTAACAAAGGCTACGGATGGCCAGGCTAAGACTTGATATCTGTGTATGAAGTTTCTGAGTTTGTTGATGTGAGCCCTGTAGGAACGAAACGTGCAAAATGTGTTATGTGACTGAAAATCAATAAAAGCGGCTCTCTAAACATCAGAAAACTTCATGTTTAAATTGCTCCCATGCACCTTCGTTTGCTTTAATATCACCCTCTTTCCACTGACTTATTATTTGCATGTTGGTATGAAGTGTTCCAACGTGAACTTCTGAGCGACGTTCTACGTTCATTTTATATAACATACTCATCAAGCTGATTTAGTACCTAGGTTGAATCGTAAAATGTAGCTGTTCCCAATCTTGGAACAATACTTAGAATCAGCTGTACTTTCCTCTTTTTCCTCGATAAAACCACTATCCAAGATTTGCTTTCATCACCTAATTAATTTACAGGAAATTTAATTGTCATCTCTCCTATAGTTCGAAAAATGTATGACCAATCATGCATATTTATTTTTCATTTCAATAATCCATTCTGTCAGCATTACGATTTTGAAGGTTTTTTATTTAATTATTTATTGTTTCTGTTCTCTGTAGCGGGGATCCTCGACAGTTTTGGCCTATCATATACAGTTGTAGCCGCTTGTCAACTTCTTGGTTATTCGGATGTAGACCTGGCATTATCTGAAGATCACGGTTGGGTTGAATTCGGTCCACCTGATTTCCGTCAGACAGCTGATGTTGCAAGTTGGGTGCAAGAATCTCATACATCAACCAATTCACATAATCCGGATTTGTTTTCAACTTCACATGATGATGCATTACAGCAGACAGAACACTCTAGGACTCGGAAAATATCATCATCTACAGAGGATGAATGCAATCCACCATCTATACGCATTCCACCGCTTGAACATTCTTGGCTTTATGTGAATGGATATCCAGTGATATGTCGTCCACGTATAATGGCAGTAGCCGCTGCGATTGCAGCGATGCAACCCGGAGCTTCATTATCCGCTGTTACCCACGGGCCCACTTCGGAACCTTTTGCGTACGGAATACTTTCACCGAATCCTTCAGTTTCATCGGGTGGTGATCTTGTTACACCCACTGGTGTAGTCAGACATTTATCCTCTGCATCAGTGATTTCTATGCAAGCAAGTTATATACTAATCTGAAAAATTCATTAAACTTTATTGGGATAAATGGAATTGTGGATATTTTTTTTTGAGCCATAGCTTTTCCCGTCTGGTTAGTCCTCTTCATGACAAGATCTAAGGTTCAGGATAAAATGCATTCATTTCTTGCTGTTTCCAATCAAAGACACAAAGTAAACACCAGTACATTTCCCACATTTGAGTAGTATATAAATATGTCTATTCAATTCACTACACTTCATAAATAATGTGCAACAAAATAAACAATCTGAAAATAGCATTCCTAAAAGCAGTAGTAGCAAACTAGGAAAAGAGGTGAAGAGATTACAATAAAAAATGAAGCACCATTCATTATATAGTAACATGCATTTACAACTATATGCCTAATTTTGAGTCCAAATTAGAGAAATTTCCCTTTCGCCTACTTTATGTTTCCCTAATCCTAACAAAGAATCTCACACCCCTTCGTGTGCAAATCAATATACTGGCATCATTATTTTTATCTAGTCATTGCGAAATTTGTTACTTCATGCGCGTACTCGAGCTAACGAGGTGCTTTGAAAGAGGCTGTAAAACCTCTTTCATAACCCCATGTCTCCATGCCTCAAAGTTCACAACATCAATTTAATCTCAAGTTATTTATTCAGTTGTTCTACAATATTGAGAAATACAGACTGATGTAAAGTCTGCATCTTCTCGTTATTTATTCAGAACAGCATAAAACTTTAAACAGTTGCACATTTTCATTTCGTGATACAGAAAAAAGCAGATCATATAATAGAAAATTTTTAGTGATCATAACAGAGTAAAGAATGGAAGCATATGTTTCATAGCGATCAATTTAGTGTTAAATCACTTAAAACTTCCAAGCATTGCTTCATGCTCATTGGTCTGCACACTCTAAACCAGTGCCACAACTTCAAGCCCCGCTTCATCTTCCTATGTCTGTGCATCCAAGTAACAGCGTCAGTTCTTACAATATGGGTGTGGCTCGTTATCTAGTGCATAAAACTGCACGTAGTTATTGAGTTATATTTTTATACGGTACTAGAATAGCGACTATATTAATATCTTGCTTAGAATAACTACTAATTTCAGCGACTGGCGTCAGAGTTTACTGGCACAATTTCCAGATGCTTTCTAAGTGACTGGTATCAGTCCTGAATGGTTGTGAATTCTGTTACATTGACTGTCAAGAAGTCTGAAAAGTATGGCGGTAAATATTCTCCAGAATCTTCACTTTCATGGAACTGGCTGGAATAATCCTAACTTTACCACTTCTTAAATCGAAGAGTTATTCAATAGAACAATAGGATAGTATTTTTAATCCTTCTATAGTTGATTTCAGGTTGGTATTCATCATGCACTAACACCATTTTAAGGGACATTGAAAACTTGGGGTCACTGGACAGCTGTTTCGTCCTAGTGTGGGACCCCACAACAGTGGACACCCACAACCTTCAGGTCCCGCGGACATCAGGTTACTATTGAGCCATTGGGTCGGAATCCAATGGTCCATACTTCCTACTTCTGTCAGTTCACGATATAGCGCGACCTTCATCCAAAATTATTCTTTTTTCATTAACAGGAAAAACTTGTTGCTTCAGGTGATAGGCTAAGGTGTGCAAGCGTACATTGCTTTATGTTTTGAATACTATAGCCATTGTCACATACAAACGAACGAACAAAATCGTCGTTACATTTCAAACTGTTTTCAATCTGATATAATTTATCACTGAGAATTTTTATCTTTCGTGTTATTGATACCCTGGAGTACCTTTACCAGTCTCTGATGATATCTGGCTTCCTTGTATGGAAAGCACGATCAAGATCTGATCACAGGTAATATCAAGGCTTTCAAACAAGGAAGAATTCAGTTTATCAACAGCAGGAAAGATGGAAAATTTTAATAGTCAAATGATACCCGTTGAATATATTGTAACCATTATAACTTAGCAGCTTACCAGGTGGTGCTGTCAAATGATGTGTCGAGTTTAAGTCCACTAAAAATACCGTTGGTCATTGGGATACAGGGAAATGCCGCTAACAAGTCCCAGAAACGACGAAACGTGGGTTCTGGTTTCCACTAATAACCACAATCATATATATATATATATATATATATATATATATATATATATATATATATATATATATATATATATATATCACACTAACTCATGCGTATATCTTGTGAAAAATGTGTGCGAGACAGAGAAGAATTATTATTAGGTTTTACTGTTATATTCGTTATTGTTTGCCCTCAACTCAACGTCAGGCACCAATAACTTTCAAACGGAAGGCAATTAAAAGAAAACGAAGACTGTCTGAGGCATAAAATTGTTACTTTCTCACACGCGTTCATTTACAAAAATTTCAACCTCTTTCATACTGAAAACAATGATGCATTAAAAGTAGTGTTAACCGCTAAAATCTACATAGAAGGCAGTGGTGGAAATGATTTCCATATTCTGGATTTTTGTCGGGATAGGATAGTAACTCTTGGGATACCCAATTATTACTGTAGCCGACTGCATTTGATTTTCATGAATCTGAAATTACCATTTTCGTACCCTTTCCTATACCGTGGTTATAAAATTATTTTCCCCATCGTTTTCCAGACTTCTCTTTTAGTGGTTAACGCTACTTTTAATGTACCGTTGTCCCCAATTTCGGACAAGGTGAAAATCTTTACGTTTACACGCATATGTTCTGGAGTGTTTTATTTAAATATAGTGTTAAGTGAAATTGTTGCAAGTTTTGACATCAGTTCACTGCGAACTGTTGTATAACCGTAATTTTTGAAAATGAACCAACTGTTCTTTAGTACTGACAAAATTTGCTTGCATATCAGCAAATCAAATGTATTATTCTCATTGTTGGATTGTGGAAGTATACGCTGTCAACAGGTATCGAAAATAAACAGCTTTTTTTATTTCCTTCATTTAGTTGGTGATGTTAAAGCATCGACTTTTATGGTTGTGTTTCGATGCTGGTTGTCTATCTCGTTATCCTTTGGGACTAACCAATTTGGGAGATTTAGAAGATGCATTTCCCACTATGGGACGCCTTGCCACATTTTTAAATTCCTCGAAATCAACATCGTCAACAGAAATAACAGATGTGAAATGGACTAGCGCTGCAGTAAATCAGTTAAAAAATTCTGAAAATTCCCCTGATTATCCTGATGTCTCTCCTGTTGTCATGAGTTCCCAGTTGGTCTCTTCCGATATGTTAAGTCCTCAGTTACCAGAAACTGTTTCACTTGCTCTAGCGCTTTACAATCGTGCCGTTATAGTTAACCAGTACTATTATGCGAATCATCATGTTTACCCGTATACCTGTTTGGCTGGATGTCTGTACAGGCATGGAGATCATCGAGGAGCATTGCGTCATTGGGCAGAAGCAACGAAAGTTATTGGGCAGTAAGTTCTCCTTTTCAACATTTGGTCTTTTTGGACTGACTGAAAATAGATTCTTTTAACTCTGTACAGCTGAGGCTCAATGACCTAGACGCTCAACTTAAAAATTTTGAAATCATGAGTTCAAAACTGCTTTTCTTGATCGGGATTCCAGAATTGTAATGGTGTTTTTAGTCTTATTATCGCAATACATGCGTTATCTGTAGCGCCAGCGAGATATCTGACTACCTATCAAAGGACGAGTATACTATTCTGCGGTCCATTCTGTCCTGCTATATGGCTATGAGACAGCCATTAATAGTAGGAGTCATGAAGCAGTTGCAGGGTTTTGATCACAGATGTTTTCGCAGCGTTGCTCGCGTTTGGTGGAATCACCATGTGAGCAATGTCGAGGTCAGGCGAAGGGTACTAGGCAAGAAAGGCAAGTCGATCGATGAGGTTTTGAACCTTAGTCGACTGAGATGGCTTGAACATGTGTACTGCGCATGCCAAGCCACTAGCTACCTCGATGTGCTAGGCTAGAGAAAGTTGGATTAGATTGAAAGGAGGTTCAGAGTGGCCGGATCAAGACATGGCACCAGTCGATGTAGTCTGGGACTTTTGGTTTCAGCCGTATAGAGGAGATGTAGACTACCTGGTTAGGGTCCCGGAGACGAAAGGAATCAGTGGCTGACAACTCTTAGTGGCATGGCCCAAAATCGGTCACTTGATATCCTTAATATCTAAAGCTTGAATATTTGCACTAACCCTAACTTCAGATTGTTCATTCTCCCACAACTTTGTTTGCTTTGATATAACTGTTTTCCTATCCACTTATTCTTTGTGTACTACTGTGAATTATAGCGACTTAAGCCGATGCACGCGTGTGCGAGGTTCTATCTTATCATTATTGTTGTTTGTCCCTTGGGTTCCTAGTGGAACATAGAGCTTCAGTCGCACGTCTCCACTTCACTCCCTTCTCTGCAGTCTTCCCAACTTGGCTCCACGACTGCCAGTAACCTTTCATTTCTTCCTCATACAATCTCCTCCATGTCACCCCTGCCTCTGATACCCAACTCGTCGTTTCCCATACGGGTTTCGCTCGAGGGACTGGCACGTGATGTCTCAGAACAGTCTTCTCAGTATATCCCCAATCCATCTCCACTTTCTTCTGTATATTTGTTGGGCAATAGGTTCTTGATTGGTTCGTTACCAGCCAGCCAGAGTTCCTTACTGCTTATTCTTGTTATTCCTGCCATCCGATCTCCATCTTCAGTATCGAGTGAGGGTAGGGATAGCCATTGATTGTACCACAAATTGTTTCGAATAAAGTGAATTATTATTATTATTATGTCTGCAGTTTGTTGGAAATGCTGTTTGTAACGCGCCAAGTCTCTCAACCAACACACAAAAGCACTAACTGATTCAACTGAATTAGTGTTGAAAATTCGGATCTTGTTCACGCTTTGTGCTGAGTGGAGTACAGTACAGTACAGTACAGTAGAATACTGTAGATCTCCACACTGATTTCAGGTTAGTGAAGGCCTGTCTTGGTGTCTTTCCGATCTTGGTTTTGACATCCTCACCTGTGCCTGTGCCGCTGCCTGTAGTTGAGACGATGCTGCACTGCATAGGTAGGTGTAAGAGACTACTTCCTTTGGATTTCTCCCAATCATAGTGATTAGTGCTTGTTGTTCATGTTGCTGTTGTTGGTTGAGTATCTTCACCACCTCCGTCCTCTCTACACTCACCTGAAGTCCCGTCTTTGCCACACTGCCTCTTCTGTCAACTTGTTGGTTTTCGCCTGTAGATCTTCGAGTTTGTGCGACAAGACATTAGACATAAATCATCATCTTTGGCGAAATCCAAATCTTCATTTGGGGTCTTTTCATCGGTCCAGCCAGCTTTTACCCGTCTTCTCGCTCCCCACGGTTTGCTGCTTGATCCAGTCGACCACAACCATAAAGATCATTGGTGATATTGGGCGGCAGCCTTATCTTTCTCCTGTCCCCTTTCTTCACTTCGAAGGTGTCACTGAGCTCTCCATTGCTGTGTGAATCAATTGGCATGTAGCTTCATACAGCATATAGATGTTGAATGAGATTGATAAATGTTTGTGGCACTAAGACGGTAATGTTGATTCAGCTTCCAAATTACTTCTCAGTCGAAGCAATCGAGGGCATTTTAGAAATGGTTGAAGTTGAGGTAGAGAGTTGAGTTGACTGCCATTCTATACTCTGATCTATGATGATGCGTAGCGTAGCGTTGTAATTTGAGTGGCACATGATTTGTTCTTCGTGAAAGCAGCCATCCAGCCTGTTCCGGTCGTAATTTAGAATCCAGTGGATTTCCGTCCTAGTCTGTCGAGGATGATGCGGCGTACTATTTTGCTTGGGTGGGTTGAGACAGGAGTATGATTCTGCGCCAGTTTTTGCAAAGACTTAGGTGACACTTCTTTGGGAGTCGCGTGATAAGGTAGCCCTTCTTCCAATTAGCAGCTACCTTTCCTTCCTTCCTTCCAAACCTCCTGGAATAGTTGTGTGAGCATGTCCGTTGTTGTCTCTGCGTCTGTTTCCAGTGCTTCTGGTGGAATTCCATCTGATCCTACTGCTTTGCCGGATTTCAGCAGCTTTATGGCAAGGTTCTACGTTGGTTTTTTCAGTCGGTCAGTTGAGGTATGCTTCGGTAGCTTGACTGCTAAATTATGTATCGAACTTCCATATCTTTTCCTGTCATCGTTAAACCTAATAACTAGGTATAATTCACAGACCAGTACATGCATCTATATGCGTACTTTAATGGAGTTTTAGCTTATTGAACTAAAGTACTCGACTTTTAGCTAATAAGGCGATAGATTTGAACTTTGCTCCATCTACTGGTGTTTCGGAAATCAGGTTGTAGTAGTACCACAACCCTCGCACAATACCCATGGTTCATTGCCTAGTATGAAACTGCATGGTTGTTGAATTGCATAATTATAAGTCTTGCTGTTATCATCATCATTGTTGTTGATTAAACTATCTCATTTATCCATCGTTTGAAAGACATTCTTATTTAGTGGGAGTTGTGATTAAAATTAAAGTACTTAAACCGGTGAGCAATAATTCCACATTAACTTGATTAAGCTGTAAAATATAAAATAGCATTCAATTCTGTTGAATACAATCAAATACATCCATGCCATACATTTTTTACAGCTACAACCACACATCTGAAGATTGGGAAATTTATCGAGAGCTTTTGGAGGTTGCCACACATCTAATGCCACAGATGTTCCGGTTAGCCAGTGAAAACTCACGTTCTTGCTCTGAAGGCCTAGTAGACGCAGACCCCGATGGATGCTTATATCAACCAGATAATATTTTGGGTAAACTTTATTTTGTATGGTTGATTTTAAGTCTTATGATTTAAATTGATAGTAACTTTTCATTTTTATCACAGCAGATATTCTGTGTTGCTCAGTGTCCACTGTCAAACTTAATATAGTTTCGTTATTGGCCCACTGTTTCTTTTATGCGAAGTAAGTGTAGGAAAAGGATATCAGCTCTTTATGCACTTTCCAATCTTGTTTAGCTTGTAGAAATCATATTCAATTTATCTAACTCATGTTAATCATTAATCGCTCCAGTACTCCCGTAGTAGGGTGGAAACCTTTAAGGATGACTCAGAATATGGAATTACCTACACAGTCTATACCATCGTATACTCTATTTTCACTGCATATATTCCACTGGCCGTGATAAACTAGGTAGAGTTCAGGTCCACCTCCTAACACTTGTAGGACCACATTCTCAAATCTGAAAACAACATTTTCTGGGTATGGTGACGATATTCAATGAGAAGTGCTTTACATTGAAATAGCCCAGTTAATGATGTGGATGTTCCGAAGTGTCTATCTGGTAGTCATTTAGCAAACTTTATCAGGAGTTCACAATAATGACTACTACTTTGCAGTAAAATTTGATTGTTGAAATTAATTCAGTTTAAAATTTAATCCCATGTGTCTGACTGATGCTTTACCGGTGAGAGAATATTCTGTGGGGTGAGAATGTAGTGTTTTCCATATTAGATGGATAGTAGCTAGCAGTGGAATTCAGGATGCGCATTTCGTCCTATTTTGGACTTGTTAGCTTGTACCTGGCTGCCAGTGAGTGTTGTTCCTACCGGGACTCGGGAACGATCGCTTCAAACGCCAGAGCGTTATCCACTACACCACTGAGCCATGATAGCCACTTCTTGTGCGACGGGTATGGTTTTTAGTATAATCGGTTGCGTTATATGGCATATGGCTCCTGTGGGGATGCCTCGATATTGCCTGTGTTTTAACTATGTATAGTAATGATGGATATCTCTAATATTTTCCGATTGTTTGGTACTTCGTGCATCTTCCACGCCTCAAAATCTCCCTCCTACTTTCTACTTCACATCAAAGACTAAAAAGTGTATGTATTAGACAGGCAGACTGTTTCACATATTCAAATCGCTGCAAGTGTCTTTTCTGTATGATTACTTACACTTTCCTGGTGACAGTATAAAAGGAATGTGTAATATTCTTCAACCTGATAAAGATGAAATATCAAACTATTCACCGATATGTAATCATGTTAGTTTCACGCCTTGTTCTTTAGATGAATTAATGGTCAGTTGATGTTTCATCGTGTCTAACCTAAAGAAGGCGTAGAATGCATTACCTAGAATTGCTGATTCTTCGATTAAGTGGTCGAGTTTGCGACACCAGTGTGTTGTAAAGTATTAAGTGATTAACCGATCGAAGTAGTTAGTTAATCTGTTCTCCATGCTGCTAATCCTCAGTGCTAATTGGGTATACAATAGTAGAAATCTATGAAATTGTTGACCATCTATCTAATCTATGCACAAAAGCTTAAGCTGCTGAAATCGAATCCTTGGATCATTGGGGATTGTTGGTTAACGGTAGTCAACAATATGTTCTGAAGTTCTTATTGTTTACGTTACATTCAAGATGTTTGTTTAATATTCTTTATCTTTTTTCTGATTACTACGATCGCTGTGCAGTTATACCATGTAAGTAGTTGATCTTCATGGTCTAAATAAAGTATCCTACAAGTAGATGTTCATGCATGAGATGTTTAAATTGTACATGCGAAACACCTATTCCTTAGTACAATAACTCATACTCTGCTGTCTTAGCTTTATATGAACCTTCTACATTAACAGTATCCTTTTCATATTCAAGGTCAGAAAGTGTGGTCGTGATCAAGCAAGCACCTGCAGTTAAACACAACTATTACTTGAAAACTGTTCAGAAGTGCTAAGCATTCCAACAGCGCCAGATGGTTAAATAGGCAATAAAATGTAGACTATTTATATAGTACAGTGGTTGAAGTTACTATACACCAAAACAGTTCATCAAAAAAACATAATAAGTTAGATGTATGTTTCTAAGAAACTTATGTTTATTCATTCGTTCAATTGGGATTTGTTTCACTGATATACATGGGTTAGTGAACTGCTAAAAACTAGATCCTAAGTTCAATATCTTCCTGTCTATTTGACCTGGTCAGCTTGGGATTACGGCTCATTTGGTGTGTCGGTTACTATCAATATGGGACTTAGTATTTACTGCGAAACAGAGTTTCTGCTGTTCAAATCTACCCATCAAGGTGAAATATGTAATCAATGCAAACAAAAGTCATAGAAAGACATTTTGACTGAAAGAGAAAAGGTTTAAAATAAATAACAAAATGTAATATAGCGGCTTTGATGAAGATATGGTATTGATGCATCCACACCGTTGAGACTGATTCTGAATTAGTATTTCTTAGTAATCTGTTTCGGTTGTCATGCAAATCTGGACCAGGTAGTCTGCATTTCCGTACACAATTCAAACCAATAATCATGAAGTGGTGTTGTATTTTAGCCTCTAACCCTCCTTAGCCGTTTTCCAACTTTAACCATAACTCAGCTAAAGGGAACGAAGTGCTCTTACCAATATCGTGCATGTTCGTGCAGTAAGCAATTGGCCACTCGTATTATATAAGGGCTAATACTACTACCTGGTTGCTCATTCCTCAGTAGGTGGAGTAGGGTTCGAACCCTTGACTCCATTGGTTAAGAGTCAACTGTCTAAACCAGTGAACCACAGCTTCACGTCCAGCTAACTTATACGCATGGTAGGTATGGCTCATAGCCTTGCACACAAAGATTTACAAGATTGTACGCTTCTATTGTCATAATGTTCATCTTTTATTGTATTTCCTCATGCCTTTCAGACGATCCACATTGCCTTTCCTACCTGTTATCATTCTATGATCATTTATGTCTATGGGAAGAAGGTTCACCTGTGCCAGTCTTACACGTGGGCTGGGTCGATAAACTAATGGTTAATTTAACACGATTTACTCAACGAGCTAGACGTCACCTATACCTGTCTGTGGCATCTGACAAAGAGGACAACAAAAGTGATACTGTTCACTCACCAGCGCTTACACATTCAACCTGCAAATCAAGTCGTTGGGCCACTGAATCAACGGATACACTAAGTGAGACAGGAATTAGCACCAAGCGTACACGTCGACATCGATCTAGTCAAATGGAATCTACACCCACTCAGTCTAACGTTAAAGAAGAACAAACAAAATCTGCTGATAGTGTAAATCCTAAACTTGAATCAATGCTTGATTACCCTACCGTTGGGGGAATATTCAATCGCCATCCTCTATGAGTAACCAGAATGTAAACCATGAATCATCTGTGGCTACAAAAATACAAAATGAAAAGGATGATATCAAGCAAAAGCCATCAGGTGAAGTGTGCTGTTGTTAAAACTTTCTATCTTTACAACTTCCGCAGGAATATGTAACATATATATTAGTACTTTCAACACGATAGTAAAGAAGTGTTTTTCCGCATTCAAATTTTATCTTTATTTTAGTTTTGGTCAGTATAGGCTCCAATATTCAATACAACCATGACTTCATACCAAAATGTCAGTCAGTTAAAACTTGTGCGCAAAGGACAGCATTGTTCTAACTGCTATATACTAAATTCTAGTATTCTTCACACTTGGATCAACCTGTTTACTTCATTTGATAAACTAGTGTGATACTAACCTGCCGTACAGGTTAAAGAAACTGGAATAGGCGCTCACACTATACTAGGGTTTGTAAATTAATCCATTTTTAGTTATTTGTTGCCTATTTATTATTTTTTGTGAATAATAGTGTGAGTGGCTAGTTCAACAAGATTTGATATACTATACTTTATTGTTCCAAGTTGCTATTTATTGATTAGGCGGATAAAACAGTCAAATAATAAGAGAGTGAGATTATCTTTGTCAGCGAAGTCCGATTTCATGTAATACCATTCAAGTGGCGTGTAATAAATTCTGCTTATGCCAAGGCCATCAATAGCTTTCGTTATGCATTGTCTAACCAACAGAACTGCGCTTTCCCCCTTCCGCCTTTTTAAATTGGAGTAAACAGATTCGGCTTAGCTTCCAAACACAATGAATAAGAATTGTTTACCTAGACTAGTTAACCATAGCTGATTTTTTAGTAGTTACTGTATGTTTGAGAATTAGCTATTTTGCCGTTCCTTCCTTTTTTTTCCAGTTTGTTCTTAGTTAGTAATCGTGTTTTTCTAATTTTTTTTACATCATAGGTCAAAGCAAAAAAGAGTCTAAGCCTCGTACATGGAAATCCAATAAATTTGCTAATAATATCACCGTGGAAATTCCCGAGGAAGCAAGTAAGACGAATAGTATTCGTGCTAGCGAGTCTTATTCACCTCACACAAAATCAGGTCTATCTTCTACTCACACAAACTCCATGTTAGATGATGTTCATTCTGAGACAGATCAGGTATTGGATACAGAAGAACAAGATGGATCACCTTCTCCTCTAGTTGATTTTCCTAATCATGATGAACTACTCGCAAGTCTAGTTGAGGCTTGTGACCATCGTCTTTTGAATCCAGCTTTCCTATGGGGTGTGGAACCGTATTCCCCTTTTCTTCCAGCCAATATCGCTCCTGAAGAAGCATTGAATCGTTTGATGACTGTGTTAGATGAAAGCAAACCTACCATCTTGTTACACAACTCAAGTGCTGATGCATTCACAAACAACGTGATCCATCATATTTTCCCAACACCTCCGAATTCTGGAAGTCTCAGTGAATCACTAGATAATGTAGTGAAGGAAGAGTCAACTGCTGCTACCTCACGGTCACAAAAAATACTGTTACCAACAACACCAATATGTTCAGACAGCAAAGGTGCAACTCAGCATCCTCCTACGGTTGTCGAAAATGAATCAGATAGTTTATCGAAAACAAAAATTGTAACTGTAGAAGAAACATTGTTGCCTGATGGTTTTGATACTGTTGACGGTCCTCATGTTTCTTCAAGTGATTTCGACTTACTGGCTAATATGCCTAATGAATTAATGGATTCTGTAGCAAGTTTAGCTGTTGAAAATCAAACTGTCTCCCCGAATCCGAGCAGTCCTGCTGACTTCTTCGACTTATTACTTGAATCCGAAAATAATTTGGATAAAACTATCTGTAATCATCAAGATGATAAAGAAGAGGAAGAAGATATGCTAAATAGTGATAATCAGTCTATGCAGTTGTCATCTCCATCTCGTCATTCAACACACCGTGTAGCTAAAACAATGGAAGAGTTAAGTGTTCACTTGTCATTGTATTCAGTTAAAATGGCTTCAATTATTGAATTGTTACGAGCACCACGATTGAATTCCTCAGCGATTAAGCTAGCATTGACAGCACAAAGTCAAGTTTGTGTTCGTCGGTCTAGTATTCATCCTACTTACTTTTAATTAATCAATTAATTAATACATTTTATACTTTGTTACCATACACCTTTGTACTTCACCATTTACTCAATCCTCAGTACTAACTAGAGTTTACCATCCAAGATGCATTGTATGTGTATATATGTATCATGTTTGTAGACACGCTATTCTATTTATTTTTATTGTACTGAACGTCTATTGTTCTTTTAATTTCCCCTATTCTCTTTCCAAATCTTTTACACATGTAAACACGATTTTTTTCCTCGTCAGCTGTGCATCATATATATATATATATATATATATATATATATATATATATATATATATATCACACTTGTATTTTACCCGTATCTGTACATGCGTTGTGTGTGTGTGTGTGTGTGCATGTACTTCCATAGGCTTCCCTGTTCCTGTCCCATCTTACACTGATCATAGATTGTGAAGATTGAGAGGAGGGAATTTTTGATCCACATCTTCGTTCATCACCTCATTCACCGCCTTATCATATATGTTCTTTCCTCTATTAGCGCGAAAAAAAATGTAGAAATATTTAATTATTACAAATATGATCATGTATTTTCTTTTTACTTCTTTCCTGTCTTTTGAATTGAATTATTTTGCCCAGTTGATATTCCAATCCGTTATTTTTTAAAAAAGGCACTATTGTTTTTATCCCTTGCCTACTTACATCGCCTTCTTACCTTGAGCCATATTGTCTTGACATGGTTATCAGTGTTTTTTTGTGTTGTCATATAGAGACAAACTTTTAAAGTAAAATATTTATTTTATATATTCTACACCATAATAAAATAATAATAACAGTAAATGTACATTTGTTGTTTATATCCTGCATATATTTTTTTTCTAATGCTTTTCTTATTTTGTGTCCTCATTTGTACATGTTTTGATTTTTCTACATGTGTCTACTTGATGTATTGTTCACACAAAAAAGAGAGGGAGGGGGAAACAGGTTTCTGTATTTTGTATTATACTTTTTCTAAAATAACCATGTGTTTGTGTTACCGTGGATGTTGTATTTTTGAGATCTATTTCATCTCTTTTTCCTTTTTTTTCAATACCCCTTCGGCGTATTACCTCTTTGAAGCATCCTGCTCTGATTTTTTAGAAGAATATCTTATCGACAGATTTTATTTAATCATGTTTGTATCTCTGTTCACAATACGTTTTATTCTAGATCATAAAGAAAAGATGATTGATTCATTCATTTACTCCCGGTGAATTATTATGTGTATTTACGTGTAAAATATCTGAGAATTGTTTGCTTTTCAGTTTATCTTTTTCGACAAAACAAATTTCACCGTGTTTTCTTTGATTGGATATCAATGTGTAAAGTAGTAGACTATATCAGGGAGACTATATCTTTTATGAATAGTCAACGACACTCAGATCCCACTCTGATTGGAAGAATGTTGTAGTTGTTCAGTGAATAATGTTGGTAGTCGGTCGCTCCATTTCGTTCTAATAACACCTTTTCATGCGCATTTCATATGAGGATGTGGGAATGATCACTGTTTTGCGTATTTGTCTACTAAATGCATACTATGTTGCGGCTTATCGGATTCTACACCGGACTTTTAAACAATGAATTTCAGGTTTAAAGCCCTATTTTCACCTACATCAATCTAAACAACCAGCTGGTATCAGTATCCCTGACAGTGTGGTCCGTAGTCCTTTTATGTTAACCTGTACCAGATGGTTGACATTTATATAGTAGCTGTAATGTACAGTACATTTCTCACAGGTAGTCGTTGTGTAGTCGATTACGTCTACTGTGTTCTCAACGTGACAGTCTTGCACCTCTTAGGAGTATTGAACTGTTAAATGGTGCCATTGTTTTGTAGTGACACTCATTGCTTACATTGAAATGATTAAAAAATGACGTCTGCTAGCATTATAAATATTCTGTGAGTAGACGATTGCACTAATCTCTTGTTATCTGTCAAGCGTAAATATAAAATGTAAGTGATGGACGGTTATGTTAGGTAATTCAGTGCATGTTATGTACTGTGATTCTTTTGGATTTGATGTTCATATTGGTTACTAGTGAAATCCAGGATGCGCGTTCCATCCTATTTGCGATTCAACTGGATTTACATGCCCCCAGTGAGTGATGTTTCCACTAAGACTTCGAAACCAGGACCAAACGTCAGAACGAAGAGTATAATTTTTATGTTATTGCTTGTAATAAGACGAAGCGTACGTCATGAATTCTACTGCTAGACACTACCCATCATTACTATCAAACTGAAATTACAAGCAATACCGAGGTATACGTCCATATGCCAATAGAGGCCGATCAATTCGGTCGAATCAACCACGAGAAATTACAAGCAATAGCATTAAATCTCTTAAGTATCATAACCCAACGGGCTGCACAGGTGGGAACAATTGCTCCTTGCAGTCCTACAGTACCAGAAGAGGTCTGTTGGGTAGTGGTAAGACGAAAATCAGCTGCTGTCATGGTGAAAATAGCTTGTGCTATGGTGGAGGCCAAGGGCAAAGTCATACTATTACTTGGATGATGTGTGACAGCAGTAATGGTTTTCCTCCAGGTCACTGGCAATTCATGGTGACGCTTAGTTCGCAGTAGGAGATAGGGGTGGTGTTACAAAAAGTTGGTCCCGAAAGTAGCGCATTCCTACTCGCCCTGTAGTCTTCCGAAATCGGCGGTACAGTTTTTTCCTACTACACCCAAGAAAAATCCTAAGCTTTCGTGACTGTGTGCAGCAAACCTCAAAGCAGATGTCACATGGACTGGCTCTGTGTTGACGCAGAACTAATAGTTTTTCTCTTCCAGATATGGTCTTAGCAGGCTATGAATTCAACACTCAATTCGAGAATCTGAGCCAGTCAGGCGAACCATTTTAGAGGTATTGATGATGACTTTTGCCGACGAACCAGTAATGGTGATGGCCTTCTACAATTTTTGTGTGTGAACTACTTCCTTCTAGCCGGCACGAACTTCTAACAGTAGTAACGTCCACCGATGGTGAACACAGACTATATCGTTGTAAGTCATTGTTGAGGGATTGCCGTTTTCCCTAGAGTACCTATCAACACTACAATCACGTGTTGGTACGGACACGTGTATGTTTGCGCCTTAATAGGAACAGGAATCATACAACAGTGAGTCCGCTGTGTGCTCGACTGAAGATGAGAAGGCTAAGTGTGTATTTAGACGGGAGAAAACTAATCGTTTATCTGAACATTGCATGAATTCTCTTTATGGTGAGAGGAAACTGCGATAACGTCAGTTAGTTGGCAACCTACAACCAAAGTTTAGAGAAAGCCAGTCGATTTCCACAATCTCTTCTGAAATGACTGATGCGAGATGACTCGTTCTAGTTAGCTGTGACCATGATGAAGATATAAGGCAGCTTGAGTGTGGATTGACTAGGAGCTTTCGAAAGGTGGTAAAAAAGATGGAGAAGGTATGAGTATCAGCTAATACTTAGAAATTACTTAGGTTTATTGAGGAAACTGGAGGGTGATGGTTAGTGGAACTATCAGCGAATAGGATGGGTTCCTGATAACATTTCCAGACAGGCGACCGGGACGTTAGATAGAGCACTTCGAAGAGAAACTCCAGTAACGCTTCGTTTTGCAGCATCTAGCCTGAACCTGGATGGAACGTAGAGGTCTGTCCTGTAACTCTCCTCGAAGTTGATAATGATGTTTGGGATCTGAAACGATGCAAAATAGCAGTACCTAACGGTCTGCTAACAGCAGTTTTTAAGCATGAAGTTGGAAAGCTATTAGTGTGAGCAGACTAACGGAGCTACTAACCAGTTCTGTCAGACTAGTAGAAATTGTTGATCATGCCACATTATGAGAATGGAGAGAAGCCGTCATGTGATAATCATATTCATAGGGAAATCAGTTAGTCCGACATTGTATCTAGGTTCATAGTTATTCGACGCCTAATGGAAGCTGTAGAACAACTAGCTCGAAAAAACCAGTTAAGTTTCTGACCTTACTGAGACAGCATACATCAAGTCTTCACCCTTCGACAGCCTTTTGAAGACAGGCATACTCATCGGTGCCCGACACTTGCCATATTTCTTGACCTGCCAGTGACAGTCAATCAAGGTGTTGTAGTAGTGTCTGAGTGGGGAATACCGAACAGGTATTATGCTATGCTAATCAAGGTAGCTGCTTGGATTCACGCAGTCGTGTGTGAACTTGGAAGTTGTCGTCTGCAATAAGAATAACGCGTGATGTCTGCAAGGAACGCCGACTATCATCTTTCCTGTTCATCTGTTTCAGACGTACTAACGCATATAGTCCAAGATACTTCCGAACCAACAGGTATTGACTTACTTCCAGGAGGGCATCTGGTTCACTTGAAGTATAAACTTGACTCTGTCTTGTTAAGAGAGGATCATCACTAAGTGCAGAGTCTTCTGAACGCCTGGAGTAGAAATCTAGATATGTTTGGTATTCATTCTGCATCTGTTTAATGTAAGGTGGCGCTTCAGGACTGATCGGCCGCTGCTCCAAATTTAAGGACAGGTAGAGGAGTGTCGGGATCCACTAGCCACTAAACCCACTTGCGAAGTTGTATCATCCCTAATGTGTTATTATTATTATTTATTATTAGTCCCTTGGGTTCCTAGTGGAACATAGGGCTTCAGTAGCACGCCTCCAGTGACCTCTGTTCTCTGAGATCTTTTGAACCTGGTTCCACGACAGCCCAGAAGCTCTCATTTCCTCCTCGCATGACCTCCTCCATGTCACCCTCGGACGTCCAACTCGTCGCTTCCCATGGGGATTCCACTCGAGGGCCTGACGCGTGATGTCCTCAGTCGGCCTTCTCAGTGCATGGCCAATCCATCTCCACTTCTTCCTGCATATTTGTTGCGTGATAGGTTCTTGCTTGTTGGTTCGTTCCCAGAGTTCCTTGTTGCTTATTTTTTCTGGCCATCTGATCTTCAGCAGCGAGCGTAAGCAGTTGTTGATGAATGTCTGTAGTTTATTGGAAATACCTTTCGTGACGCGCCAAGTCTCTGAGCCATACAAGAGCACTGACTTGACGTTGGTGTTGAAAATCCGTATCTTGTTCCACATGCTGAGTGCAGAAGATCTCCACACTGGTTTCAGGCTAATGAACGCCTGTCTTGCTTTTCCGATTCTGACTTTGACGTCCTCGTCCGTCCCGCCTGTAGTTGAAACAGTGCTTCCTAGATAAGTGAAGGAGGTTACTTCCTTCAAGTTTCTCCCGTTGACGGTGATTGGAGTTTGTTGTTGTTGTTGTTGAT